TTTAACCAATTGTTGATAATTTAAAGAACATTCAGAATCATTATCATCTTCATCTGTATCAGAAACAACAGCATGTGTAACATCATTAACTTCATCATTAGGTTCATCTGGTTGGTCCATAGTTAATGATTCAGAATTTGAATCATCATTGTTTTCATCAGAATCATTTGTGGCTTCAACACTTTGACCTGGCAGAACGTTCAATTTTTTCCTTTTTCGGCGAATCACTTTTGTTTCGCTACTCCTCATAGTTTTAAGAAAATCTCAAATTGAACTATTCACATCTTCAGTTGTATTTTCATAGTTGTCCTCACTAGGCAACATATTTAAAACTTTATCTCGATTTAACGGATAAATGCCACATTTTTCAAACCCAGCTTTTAAATTGTCAGTAGATTTCTCGTTAATGGTTTTCATTAATATATTAAGAAGCCTAGGAAAGCGGTCTTTTGGTACACTACATTCATCCCTTCCTTCTCCTTTTTTCCAAGTTTCAATAATCTTCCTCCAGTGACATTTTAAAGGTTTTAAAGAATGCCACATCTAGATGTTGAGTAAGATGTGTAGAATTAGCTGGTAAAAACACAAATGAAATATTATATTCTTGACACAATTTAATTGCATCTGTGGCTTGATAATTTGTCTCCTATTAAAATTTTTCTACCAGACAATTTTCTCAAATAAGGAATGGCAATACTTCTTATCCAATCATCAAACGCATAGCTATCAAACCATCCTGACTTACTAGATGCATACCTAGAACCTTTTGGACCGTTCATTCTCCAACTATTGGATATTGTTTTAGCCTTGTAAACTTTATAAGGTGGTAAAAGGGTTCCATTAGCTGATCCAGCAAACATGATTGAATTTGAAGTCTTACTATGGTTCATTATACGTTCTGGATATTTAGTACCTCAATTTGTAATAATTTTTTTTGCATCCAGGATTGTCGGTTAGGTTTGTCTCATCATAGTTTAAAATATTACTAGGAGGTAACCCATCCAAAGAAATTGCAAGTTTATCAAAATATTCAGATATTGTGATTCTTGATATACCTGCACGAGATCGTTTTATGTTTTGGCACATTCTTACAGCTAAAATGTCTTTGTTCTTTTTCAAAAAACTATTGACCCAATCCCGTCCTGGCATATTTCCATTTTTTAAATTATTAATTTTTTTTACCCCTACGATCTAGATACCCTTTAACTAATAGTCTAACATCAAATTTATCAAATAGATATCCCCATTCAGAACACAGTAAAATACCTGCAATTATTAAATCCCCTTCCTGTTTTGTGTGTGAAGTTTGTTTTTTCATACGTGGATTCATACGTGGATTTTCTTGTATATAACAGAATGGTGAATACCATATACTTTTGCAGCCTCTCGGTACGACATTTTTTTATGCTTAATACACATAACACCATTTGCTAGATCACATTAATTATTTGGAACTTTATAACGGTTGCTCCGAGGTTCTGGATTATATTGATTGGGCATGTTTCTATTCACCCTAAAATTAACAAATCTAAGTTCAACAATTTATTATAAATTAAATAATAGTTATAACGAGTTTATACTTACGTTACATTAATTTATACAAGAATTTTTTTTCTTTGTAAAATAGATTGAGTGGATTTAAAAATTTTTTTGTGATAACGAATTTGCGCTTCATTTTTGGAGGCAAAATATTCTTATCAAAATAAATATTTTAAAGATAATAATTTTGGTTTGGAGGTAAAAGTAAATACTGTGTACCGTTGTTAACAACATTACCAATTATTTATTATTAGTTCTTATCTACTTCTCGTCAAAGCCGGTTGTGCGTTATAGTGTGTTCGTCGTATATTCGTATTATTATGCCGTGCGCTAAATGTAATATTAACATATCTCCTAAGAAAACCGTAACTTGTAAAAGTTGTGATTTTGATTTTCATGTGAAATGTACAAATCTTGAATCACTCATTGAATATAATAAGATTAGTGCTAAATGGACTTGTGAATATTGTAATTATAATACTAAAAATATTACGCAAAGAAAAAAATTGAATAATATGGATAATTCAAGCCGGGATGATGAGGATGATTATGATTTTGGGTCAGTAAAAATTGATATGAAAAAAATGTTCAGAAAAATTGAAGTACTTACTACTAACGTCACATCAATGGAAAGTTCATTAAATTTCTATGGAGAATCATTTGATGAAATCAAGAAGAAAATGGACACTGTTGTAAACATCGTTAATGGTATGGGAAATAGGGTAATGGAAACAGAACTTAGATGCTCTAAACTCGAAAAAGAAATTGATTACCTCAAAATTATGTTAAATAACAAAGAACAAGCTTCTCTAAATCAATCCGTTGAAATTACTGGTATCCCGAAAACACCTAACGAAGATATACCTCATATAATTACATCAGTAGCTAATATATTAAACATTAGTATTAAAAACGAAGATATTGTAGATACTTACAGATTGAAACCGTACAAGAATACTGATGGTAAAATTATAGCTAAATTCAATTCCACGATTCTAAAAGACAGTATTATTAAATCGATAAAATTACTTTATAAGAATAAAAATCCGGTAACTGCAAATAATTTATGTACTAACTTTCCCGAAGTTAATGTATTTACCAACGATCAACTCACAAAGGAAAACAAAAGATTACTCTGGTTGTCAAAAGAATTCTCAAAAACATATGGTTATAGATTTGTCTGGTCAAATTCTGGTGGTGTATACTTAAAAAAACAAGAAATGGAACAAGTTATCAAAATACCAACTACACAAATTCTTCAAAATCTTGATACAGACAAAAAAGTTAGTGCACTTTGGGAGTAGTGTAGTATAATATTTTTTGTTGTTTAAATTAAGTTACTAATTTATTAATTTATCTTTATTTTTGTTGTAATATTAAATTTTTTAGTTTAAGTTAATGATATATATGAATAATTATTATAAATCCCGTTAAAAACTTTGATTTTAATTTTCTATCTAATGAAATAAATACTGATTATCAAACGTTTGTTATTAACGACTGTAACAAATTTAGTGACCATAATAATGATCTTACTGTCTTTTCACTGAACATTAGAAGTATCAGAAAACATTTTAATGAATTATTAGTGGTTTTAAGTTCAGCTAATTTTAAATTTGATATTATTATGTTATCTGAGACATGGTTAGATAATAATATTGGTAACTTCGATATAAAAGGTTATAATTGTTATAATCACTATAGCTCATTAAATATATCTGATGGAATAAGTGTTTATATTAAAGACTCTATTATAGTAAATAATATTATAATTGGAAGTATTAACCACTGTAGCTCATTAGATTTCTCAATTTCCTATAATAATATATTAATTAAATTAACATGCATTTACAGATCACCCAGTTTGAATAAAATTGATTTTATTGATAATCTAGAAGACTTTTTAAACAATTACTCCAAATTCCAATCACATATTATTTGTGGAGACATAAATTTAAATATTAAGATCGAAGACATCATTTGTATTAAATACCTTAATGTACTTAGTAGCTATGGATTTAAATCATGTATTAATGGCACTACACGTAGCTTTGGCAATAGTAACACATGTATTGATCATATATTCATTAAAAACAAACAGGCATTTAATCATATTTGTGGATACATTTATCAAAGTGTTATTACGGATCATTACAGTACTATTGCTGT